ACTTCCGGACAGGGGAGAAACCTAAAATCAGTTTCAGGTAAGTGGCTAGGTGTTCTGGGGGGTTGCAAAATGCAAAACACTTAGTCCCTACCTTAGGTTATTCAGGGGACAGCTAAAACATGCCCACCTGGAAAGACCTCATCAGTATTATGCAAATCAGCGTTCTGGACCACAGGTCCCAGTGGAAGTTTCAAGAAAGTGGGCTTAATGTGGGCTGGCATGGAGGGTGCTCAATGCCTTCATGGAAAAAGTGGCCCAAGAGCCTGGATTTGAAAGTTGAGTAGAAACTAGTTGGTGCAGAGAAAGAGAGTGGACACTCCGAATTAGGGCACAAGGTGATGGAGGGGTAAGGGATTCAGAGTTTCCAAAGCCTGTTCCTGCCTTAGGACAGACTATAATGCTAGCCATCACTAGCCAAGCCCAGCAGGATCTAGGCCCTGCCTACCTCTCCCCCGTCCTTGTGTTCCGGCCACACGGCCTGTGACACAGGAAAGAAAACATCCATGACTCATAAGGAATGCTGCCAAGGAGAGAGAAGAAAGTGGCAGAGTGGCTCCATCACGGCCCATGGAAGGGGGTGCCTGACTCCAGGACATAGAACTCCACTCCCTTCGCAGGGAGACCCGCAGAGTGGAGGTGGAGTAACAAGAGAAGCTGTCTGAGTTCACTGACCACCAAGATCATTCCTCCACTCTGACTTCAAGTCAAATTTTCCGAGTCATCTGACCCTGTGTGGACTTTCCCTGGGGAGAGGATGCAGGCACCGCTGTTCACTCTATGGATCCAGTCCTCATGGTAATGAGGGTCTTGGCTTTTCTGTTTATCTGTTACGGAGAGCTCCAGCCACCACCCTCCAACATGAAAAAGTGCACGTCTCCCTTGCAGACATGCCGCAGGGGTTCCTGTGTTGAGTTCCGGCAAGGTGGGTGTGTGTTCTTTCCTGGGTGGAGGTGCGGGTGGGGGTGGGGGGTGGGGTTAATTCCACATGTCAATCAATCATCCAGGTAAGCGGTCCTTAGCTGGAAACAGGACTACAGTATGTTGGCTTTCAAGCAGGTGTAAGAAGACCCTTAGAATCTCTCAGGTCACACCCTTTGGAGAATAGACATGGATAAAAGACAACATTTGCTGGGTGCTTGTCAGGGGTCAGACTCCTATGTGTAAATAGCCCAAATCAGGACTAAACTACAGCTCAGCTGACAGGTGAATGAGAATAAACTTTCCCTGGAGTGAAAAACCAGGTTTTTCTTAGGGAATCTTTGAAAGACTAAATCTTCACCCCTGAGAGCATAAACTGAAATAGTTATTTGTCTTCCCAAGATTTTTCCCAAAACAAGAGAATAATCGGACTATCTTCAAGAAAATGCTGACCCCTGGTGGACATTTCTTGAACTGCGTTTTTAAACCCCCCCACCCCCAGTCCAGGTAACAGCAGTAGACCCAGAGGCAAAATTTTCTTTTGAAAGTTGAACATCTCTCTAAGTTTTCTCAGGCTAAGAACCCCAACAGAAATAGGGTATTTCACTATCTCTCCAAACTTTTCTGAGAGCTGGGTTTAATATCAAGCATGTTGAGATCTGCCATTATGCCTTAGGAATTTCATCGTTATGTGAAAAGACAAAATTGTTTGGTTTGCCCAAGATCTGCAAGGATTTTGCCCCGATTTAACACCTTCAGTTATAGCACAATCTATGTGCCCCCCCAAATTAAGCTCAAAGTGTCTTAACAAGACTAAGAAAGTAGAAAACCTTCTTCTACTGAAACCAAATCCCCCTAAAACTGAGTTCCTCTGCCGAGTTTATGATTAACCTCTCTGTCCAAAACTGTATTATTCCCTTTCTTGTCCCATACCTCTCCCACATCAAGATTGAGGAGTGTCAAATAAAGAGGGATTGTAACCAAGCAGGAGCCCATGGGGCCTTCCCAGAACAGACCCACCCTGGCCCCCCGCATGTCCTCTGCTGACCTTTGGAGCTCTCTGACCCAGAGATTCCTGCTGTGCTACTGAGTGACATCGCCTACACACAGGAGCTCCCCTCCCCCAAGTCCCCTTGCCCTCCTCTCCTTCTAGGCAGGGACCTGCTACTGTGTAGCCTCTGGACGGACCCTTGCTGTGATGTACCTCCCCGAAAACATCATCCAGTAAAGTTTGTGTGTGCTGCTGTCACCTGGTGGTCAGATCTTTTTCCTCCATCAGCCATCTCAAGCCTCCTAGATTCTGAGGCCTTTCCCTTTCTCTAGGTTTCTTTTAAAACTTCCCCGGTCCGAGTCCTCTCTCTCCTTAAATTTTCTGACCAATGAAATACGTTAATCCCTACTGAGAGGTCAGTGGCCAATTTATTTATTCACCAAATATTTATGGAGCACCCAGTATCTTCCAAGCTGGGTACTTGGGATACACCATGGAACAAAACCGATGAAAGCTCTGCGTGTGTGGAGCTGATGTTCTAGCAACATGAGGGCGGCTTAAAGCTTTTCCTTCTCTTAAAGAACATTTCAAGCCAAAGTGAGGAGATGGTAAGAGGGGAGTTTTTGGTACCATCAGGGAGCTACTGGGAGGGATAGCAAGGATGTTTGGGTTTGTAATTACAAGAGTCAGTTTAACAAAAATCCCAAAATAAAACCCAAAATAACAAAAAAAAACCCCAAAACACCCATGAGGGCTTCCCTGGTGGCGCAGTGGTTGAGAGTCCACCTGCCGATGCAGGGGACACGGGTTTGTGCCCCGGTCCGGGAAGATCCCACATGCCGCGGAGCGGCTGGGCCCGTGAGCCATGGCCGCTGAGCCTGCGCGTCCGGAGCCTGTGCTCTGCAACAGGAGAGGCCACAACAGTGAGAGGCCTGCGTACCACAAAAAAAAAAAAAAAAAAAAAAGCCAGAGCTTGTACGTGGTATGAGTGCTTCCCTTCAAAGCAGAGCTGCCCTGACTTTAAGATGCATCCAATCACCTGGAGATCTGGTTGAGAGGAAGACCCTAAGTCAGCAAGTCTGGCGTGAGGCCTGGGATTCTGCATTTTAACTCCCAGGTGAGGCTGCTGCTGTGCCATGGACCACCTCTTGAGCAGCAGGGCTTTAAAACAGATTCCTTTGAGCACTGATTCCTGCAGGACTAATACTAGTAATCAGAACATTCCTACCGACCACAGAAAGTTGTTGCAAAGATTAAATAACTCAGCCCTTTGCATCGGCTGATCTCTGCATCAGAGGTAGGAAAACTGAGACTCCAACACTTTAACTAACTCACCCATGGGCACAGTTGCAAACAGGAGAGCCAGGAAGTGGCTCCAGAGTTCCAGGGCTCACATACGTGCGTGGCTATGTGACTGCCTCGCCTGTTGCTAACCTACAGTTGGCTGCTTAACCAAATCGCATGGTGTCTGAGCCCTGGGCTTCACCTCCTGTTTCATGAGGGGAGGATGTCTACGGAGCCTCACAAATGTTAGCTGCTATTGTCACCATGAAGCCTGGAAGGGTTTTCTGCCTTGAACGTCCTCCTTTTACCAAGATTGAAAATATATCAGCCACACTCACACTCTTATCACACACAGCGTTTCACTCATATCGTCTCACTTCACCGTGTATTGTCCCCGTGGAGCAAGTGGTTCCTTCCGTTTTACACACGAGGAAGAGAAAGCTGAGTGGTGGGGCGACCTCATTGTCGTCTTAGGATCTGGGATCTAGGCGAGATCTTAAAGATTTTCTCCAGTCGGTTGCCCTTTTTTTTTTTTGGCCGTGCCATATGGCTTATGGGATTTTAGTCCCTTGACCAGGGATCGAACCTGGGCCCTCGGCAGTGAGAGCACGGAGTCCTAACCACTGGACTGCCAGGGAATTCCCAGTCAGTTGCCTTTTAACCTGCTCAGTTTTGTTTGTTTGTAGCAAGGACACCTCTTCAGATAAAGCCCTGCAGGGAAGTCCAGTTTGGGAAGCAAAGGGCTGGGTGGGAGCTGAGTTCTAGAGATGGAGCCTGGCCTCTCCATTCCCCTTTTATGGGCTTTGTTTCCAGGGACCTCAGAGAGGCATCCAGGGAGCTCTGTTTGGAAAACCCCAATCTAAGTCAACACTCATCCTGGGAGAAGGAGGGACCTGGCTTAGGAAAGGGAGGTGACTTGGCCAAAATCACACAGCAGGCTGTGGGCCCAGCGGGGCCTGACTCTAGGACTCCTGGGACCCAGCCTAGAAGTCGGCAGAATCCCAGGAAGGGACAGCGCCCCTTGCTGGCCTGACTTTATTTAGCCGAGGGGTGTTTGATAAACAGTCATTCTTACAGTCCTGCATTCCCATCTCATGGGGCCACATTCAACATTCCACCTGTTAATTTCACCATTTCCCAGGTGCCCCCTTCCCTCACATCCCAGGATGGGGGGAGGGGGCAAGGCTTTTTATTTTTAGACATTTCAAAACTGTGACTATAACATACATACAGAAAATCGCCTAACCACGCCCATGCCAAGAAACAGAATGCTGCCTGGCCCCTCGGGCCACCGCCCCGCTTTCAGGCAGGGCGCATCCTTGCTGTTCTCTGTGTCTCTGCATCCCTCCCCACGACTGTTCCATTTGCCTGTTTTAAACTGTATGTAACTGGAATCGTGCTCTACGCATGCTTTGGGGATTCTTGAAGCCCACAAGATGTTTGTAAGATTCATCTGTCTTGTGGCTGCAGCCAGCTGTGGTTTATCCATTCTCTTTGCTGTCGAGCGTTACCTTGTATGTATGAACATACACGGTTTACGTGTTCATTCTTCTGGGCTGGGGGTTTGGGTTGTTTCCATTTGGAGGCTATTGTGCACGATGGTGCTGCACACCTTCCTGGCAGAGAGATTTGCTCTCCTGTTATTCGAGGAGAGCGAGGCCCAAGGAGGAAAGGACTCAGAGGAGAGACACCCAGGCCCGGCCCCAGGGTTTGAAAGGCCTGTCGCTCGACACTCCACCCCGCCCCCGTTTTCCAGTTCTCTTTGCCCCAAGCCCAGCAAGGCCATGGACACAGCCAGCAAAGTAGATGAGTTTTCAAGTTTTCAAGGTTTTATTGTAAAACAAAGCTCAGGTCACAGGGAGTAGGAAACTTTCCACTCAACACATACAACACACGTTCACTGAGGGCACCTACTGAGGGCCAGGCCATGTGCTTGGCCCTGCAGAGACCTAAGACATGGCGGGGGCGGGTCAAGGTCCCTGCTCTCAGGGGCTCACAGGATGGTGGGGAGACAGACAGAGGCACAACATCTTCCAAACAAGTCTCAGGGTGTCGGAAGTGCTAAAATGGTCAAGGAGCGATTCATTCCTCCTGGGAGGTCTGGAGAAGCCACATTTGTGCTGTGTCTTGGGAGCTGGGGGATTCTGACGGGAGGGCAGGGAAGGGGACAGCACTGCAGGCAGCTGCAGGAGGTCTGCAGTGGACAGGGCGCTCAGGGCCTGGGCCGGGGAGCGGTCTAGACTTATAGGAATGTTCCAGAAAGAAAAACACTAGGGGACCAACCTAGTCCACTAACTTTTCATTTTTACAGGTCAGGGCATCACAAAAACAAGAAAGACAAAGAGGAAAAGCTATCACCTCCTTTCACCATCAATTCCTAAACAAGGGGATATTTAATCTTCTACCCCCTTCCAGAAAGAACATCATCTCCAAATAAAGGACTCTCTCTCAAAGCTGGCTTAATGAAAAAAAAAAAAACAAAAAACCAGGAAACACTTGTTTTCCATTTTGCCACAGAGCCTAAAACTCTTGCCCCTGGAAAAGCACCAGTTTGCAAATAGCAGGATGGGAGCCCCTTGAGGGGAGGTCAGCGAGTGGCCTGCGGGCTCTGGGGCCTGGAAGGGAAGTGAGGGAGGGGCTGGGGCTGGCCAGGGTGCCTGGACTTTACCCTGAAGGTACAGGCGACCCTGAGGGCTTTGATCGGGGCCGTGATCCCATGTGCACTTTAGAAAGACCTGGCGGAGGCCTCGTGGAGGCTGGGTAAGTAGAGGAGGCTGTTCTCAGGGCTCTTGTACCTCCTTCCGAGGGCTGCCCCCACCCCCGGCCAAGGCTGCCCCGCTGAGCGCTCACTGCAACCATGGCGAACCCCCGGATGGGAGGGAGAGGCATCTCTGGAGTCATAGATGTGCTGGGAGTGGGAGGCAAGGGATGCTGAACAGCACCGCTACTGGTCCTGCTGGAAGTAGAACTTGGTGACCTGGACAGCATCTTGAGGAGTATTGGTGAGGCCCACGGGCTGGTCGGTCTCCAGTGCGGTACAGAGGAACCAGCCGGGGCAGGCGGCCGACTCGAAGCTGGTGGTGGGCCCGCTGTCGGAGCGGATGAAGGCGAAGCGCTTGTCCTCCTCCTTGCTGCTGTTCAGGTCAGTGATGTTTACCGGCTGGGGGCCAAGGAAAGAGCAGAGAGGTCCTTGCACCCCAGCCCCCAGGACCTGGCCCCGTGACTGCCCACGGAGAAATGCTGGCCCAAAGACCATGGCAGGACACCCAGTGTCCCGGGTCTTGTGACACAAGGAGGCTGTCCCACGGTTACACCTTGATTTGGGGAAATCTGGTCACTCCAGCCCTCGGCCAATATGTTTGGGAAACACATGGCACCATCAGCAGAGGCCAAGGCCTGGGGAGGCTGGTGGTCCGTTGTGCCTGCACCTCCAAGAGAGGGGGCAGTGGACAAGGTGGGCAGGGTATTGCAGTCCATGCGAGACGTTACCACATTATCGTGGTCACTCCAACGCCACACAGAGCAGTCAGCCCCGCTCCAATAAAGTGCCTATCCACTAGTGGACAGAAGGGACAGTGCCATAGTTATGGCCACTCACAATCTGAGTTAAGATTTTGTCCAACAATCCCCTGATACAAAGCCCTCTTTTCCCAGGGCTGGTAGCCCATTGATATTGCACAGGGGATTTCCCTGGTGCCCTAATGGTTAGGATTCCAGGCTTTCACTGCCATGGCTCAGGTTCAATCCCAGGTCCGGGAACTGAGATCCTGCAAGCTACACGGCATGCTTCACCCCCCACCCCACCGCAAAAATAAGAAATATTGCACGGGAGTACAAGGTCTTGGATGGGATGCCAGCTCATGGGTTTGAGTAGATAAGGGTTGGAAGAGAATGGTCCCAAATGTTGGCTTTACCGAAAGAGGGCAAGTCCAAGTGGGTTGGGGACCCTTGGGCAAGAGAGCAGCATACAGAGGTTGAGGTCCCTAAAGGAGCCATGCCTCCTGGTGTCCACCCCCTGGTAGTCCCCTCCCTCGTTGAGGCTAGGCTTAGCCACCTGACTGTCTTTGGTTAATGGGACATTAGCGGTATGATATAAGCAAAAGTTTAATAAGCGTTTGCACATTGAGGCTTGTCTTTTTGGAGTAATCCCTCTTGGAAGCCAGCACTCATGTCATAAGGAAGTTCAAGAGGGCAGCTGAACTCAGAGAGACCCCGTGGGAAGAGAGCCTGGAGGACGGACCCCAGCTATACCACGTGGCACAGAACTGCCCAGCTGATCCTCGTCAACCCACAGAATCATGAGAAAGAACCCATTGTGCTTGTTTTAAGCCACCGAGTTTGAGGTGCTCGTTAATCTGAGACGGTCCTTACCTCCAACCCGAGCTTGATCTCATCACCAGACTTGACACAGGCCAGGCACAGCTTCCCCCCATGGATCCCCAGGAACATAGCATGGGGCTCGATGGGCACCACATCTATCTTCTCTGGGGAAGAACAAAGGGGAAGTTCAGGTTGTAGAGAAGAGGAGGCACAGATGACGAAGACACAGCAGGCTGGACTCTCCCTGGGGATTCTTCCAGCCCCTTAAGTAAAACCCCAAAATCAGAAGGACAGCAAGGGCCCCCCTTCCTGGTCTGCATCCAAACAGAAGATCAAACCAAGCACACTAGCTAGCTACTCCTCAAGGTCCAAGGCACCTAGAATCTACTCCAGGTGATTTCTATCCTTCCCTCCCTTCCCCAGGACCCCTGCGCTCTAGGTCAACAGATGTGCTGCCCATGGGCAGGGAAAACAGCACACGAGGTCATGAGTGGGGCGCCGGGGCTTGGTCCACAGAAGCCTGGGTGACTTTGAACCCGCCTCTTCCCCTCGGTGGTCTCCATGCCCTCGTGAGGGAGTGAACATCTTAGCCTCTCTGTGTTTAGAGTCCTCATTAGGAGAATTACCAACAGGACAGGAAAGGTGGGTCTCACACCCTTTAAGAGTGAGACGGGGACAGAGAACAAGGGGATGGGGATAATGCCATCCTACGACCCCAAGCCAGCCAATGGGGACGTGAAAACATCCCAGAGGGCTAGTGCTGAAACAGTCCCACGTCCCATCATCCAACTGCTCCTCTTTTACTAACGGGAAAACTGAGGAACAGAGTGGGTGAAACTTGTTCAAGTCTATCCAGTTTGACATGGATCTGGAACATGACTAAATGTGGTGTCCTCGATTAAGGGACATAACCCAGCCTTGTTGGTATTACTTTTGGGTGGGAGTGGGAGTTTGATCACACAGGAACACGGGGGCTTTCTAGGCACCAGAGGAAGGAAAGGGCTGAGCTTGCCTCCTGGGCCATACCTCCCCCCAGGTGTGGCCCTGGGACCACGGTGCCTGTAGGTGGTGGCTCCCAACCTAGACTCCGCCCATCTCTGCCTTCTTGAGGCTGTCCCTGTCCGTGTCCTTCAGTGGCCAGGCCTCTCCAGCTTCAAACTCGGCCACAAAGAGCCAGCAGCATTTAGGACATCACACCTAATGTTCCCAAGGTTGGGCCACAAGGCTGCAGACCCCAGGCAATGTGACCAGTGCCCACATCACATCGGCCTTCCTTGCAACCACTCACCTTCCAATTTAGTATTTGGTCCTTGCAAGTATCCAGCAACTAGCTGGTTATTTCGCAGGTAGAAGGTCTTCTGGTTGACATCCCAGATTCTGAAAAGCAGAAGAACCTAGCTGTAGTGGAGAGTTTCTATGTGCCCAGCCCCCTCCCGTGTTCCCCAGACTTTGCGGAATCTGCGTCCAACTTTCTGCCTGGGGTGTAGAATTTAGCACACCCATATCATGGATGTGGAGACTGAGCCCAACGCTGGTTAAAAGAGTGGATACAGGGCTTCCCTGGTGGCGCAGTGGTTGAGGGTCCGCCTGCCAATGCAGGGGACACGGGTTCGTGCCCCGGTCCGGGAAGATCCCCCATGCCGCGGGGCGGCTGGGCCCGTGAGCCATGGCCGCTGAGCCTGCGCGTCCGGAGCCTGTGCTCCGCAGCGGAAGAGGCCACAACAGTGAGAGGCCCGCGTACCGCAAAAAAAAAAAAAAAAAAAAAAAAGAGTGGATATATGTATATGTATAACTGATCACTCTGCTGTACACCTGAAACTAACACAACATTGTAAACCAACTATACTCCAATAAAAATTTAAAAAGTAAAATAAAATAGTCAACAAAAAATAAAATAAGTAACAACTTAAAAATATTTTAAATAAGAAATATATTTTGAATATGAAAAAGACTGAAAGAGGCCCAACCCCCACAGCTGGTGAGCTGTGCGCCTGCGTTCTACCCCTCTCGCTTTTTTTTTTTTTGCCGTATGCGGGCCTCTCACTGTTGTGGCCTCTCCCGTTGCAGAGCACAGGCTCCCGACGCGCAGGCTCAGCGGCCACGGCCCATGGGCCCAGCCGCTCCGCGGTATGCGGGATCTTCCCGGACCGGGGCACGAACCCGTGTCCCCTCCATCGGCAGGCGGACTCCCAACCACTGCGCCACCAGGGAAGCTCCTATCTCTCTCTTTGCCTTGCTCCTTATGCTCAAGTTCTTAGGGCAGCCACCTTCTACTTCAGCAAAGCAGGCTCTAGGGTAACGCCATCAACAGAACTTCGTGGGTGCAGAAATGTTCTATGTCTGCACCATCCAATATGGCAGCCACCAGCCACACGCAGCTACTGAGCTCTTGAAACGTAGTGCGACCAAGGGTCTGGATTTTTTATTTTCTTCTCTTTTTATGAATTTAAATGTAAATTTTAAGATTCATCCAAGACTAGTGGCCCACACGGCACAGGGTTAGAAGTTTCGAGGGTCAGAGCCCCTTGCAGCTAACTCCCTCCAAGCCTTAGACCGTGGAGGTCTGTCCCCAGAGCCTGTCCTCTATTGGCCAGTGGCCTGTTCTGGGTCTGGCAGGGGCCGCTGTCCCCAGGGACAAGTCAGCTTCCCCTCCAGCTCACCCCATGGCCTGTTTCTGGCTTCCAGTTTTTTCTTCTTGGTGAAGGACCCCTCCGGCTGAGAGCAGGGCTTGCAGCGGTGAGATGCAGTAAACAGAGCCCCAGCCGCGACGCGGACCCTCTACTGCCTGCCGCCCACCAGCATGACCTTGGACCTGCGCTTCATCTCCTCACCTGTGAAAGGGGGCCAGCAACACCCACCTCAGCAGGTGGCTGTGACGAGCCCCTGAGCCCAATGAGAGGGGGTCAGGCAAACTGTAAAATTCCTGGCACGAGTGAGCATTTGACCTTTTGTGATTATTCTTAGTTCCTGGATGAGCTGAATCCCATCTGAAGGGATTAAACATCCCTGGAGCATCTCCTAGAGCTCCCAGCCTATGGGAGGAGACAGAGGCAGACCCCTGGGGGAGGGACTTCTCTGGAACACACACAGGCACGCAGAGTCCCAGCCTGTAGCCTCAGGCAAGAGAAACTCAGAGTTGGAGGGTGAGATCACCCCGACATGTCCTGGGACATCATGGCCCAGAGGCCGCACTCGGACAGTGTTCTGTTTTTATCAGCATCACAGCCTGCTATATTTACAGCCAGGGATGATGACATCTCACAAAGTCCCTGACCTAATTTTTAATAATCGTAATCTTTGCCAGGCACTTTACTGCTCACAAAACATCGTCACGCTGTTATCCGTGCATTTGACCTTCACATCAACCCTGTAATGCAGGCAGGGTTAGCATTAACCCCATGTCACAGATGGGGAAACTGAGGTCCCAGGGGAGCGGGACCCTCTGATATATCAACACAGACAGGCACTGTTAACAGTTAGTCTGGAACTCTGGGCTGTGCCCTGCCCACAGCGCCCCTCTCTGCCTCTTTGCCTAGCATGCTCTACCAGGCCCAAACCCCGGCATGGCTCCTGGGCACGTGTCTGTCACCAAGTTGCCAGGGTCTCTGGGAGAGTCCGCCAGGCCCCCAGCCAAGCTTCGCACATTTGGGATATTTTGAAATACAAGTCCCGAAGACCACGGATGTGGCAGCCTCTTACTTGAATAACGAGCATCCCTTTCCAGCCCAAACCTCATGGAACCTGGCAACCACAGACGGCTCTCTGTTCTTTCTCCATTTTCTACCCGTCCAGCCCCACCTCCTCTGGGTCGGCCTTACCTGAAGGCTTGCATCTCGCAGGGTCTCTTTCCCAGGGGGTAGCAGGCTGTCTCTGAATGGAACAGGAAAAGGAGGAGAGAGATTAGGTAACCGTGGTGACACCTGCAGACTTCCATCCTGTGACCACAAGGCAATGGGAGACTGCCATTTCAGACCCAGAGGAGCTGCTTATAAAGAAGATCGTCCCTCACCAAGACCAGGCTGCGGCCACCCTGTCCCACTGTGAGAAACGGAAACGCCCTCACATTTTCAAAACGAGAAACCTTGCTGTTGTCACTTTCAACCCTGCTGAGTGTCGCAATGGGATGTTGTAACCCATTCCCTCCCCTTTTCCTCTGTGCAATTTCCCCAAAGTTGAGATTTTTATTTCCCCTTCACGGAGTTCCTGGGAATAAGAGCGCACTGAAAACCAAAGCCCTTCATCTGCCCGACAGGTATCCTGAGACTTTGCAAAAACAGGTTTGAGTAGAAATATCCCCCTTTCCTAAGAAGTCGAGTGGCAGGGCTCCCAGCACCTGTGACAGACTCAGGTCACCTTGTGTTCTTTGAAGGCGGGACAGCCTTGCTGGACTCTGGACCAGGTGCTGGCAAACATTCTGTTAAGGACCAAATAGCAAATATTTTAGAATTTGCGGGGCCGTACGTCATTATTACCCAACTCGGCTGTCGTAGCTGAAAAGCAGCCTTGGATGATCTGTAAACCAACAAGCTAATTTAATTGTGCTCCAATACAACTTTATTTACAAAAAACAGGTGGTGGCTGGATTTGGCCTGAAGTTTGCTGCCTCCTGCTTTAGAGTAAACTTCCTGAGAGGGACTTTGAAACCAACCCTATTCCTGTTATCGACGTCTTTGAAGTTATGGTCTCGGGAAAATGGGGTGAACTCAGCGTGGGACGGAAATGAATCCAAAAATCTACCTCTAGCACTTGCCGTTTGCCACCTGTGTGACCTGGAACAAGTCACTTATCTGGGTCTCTGCTTCTCTCTCCTCACGCTCAGAATGAGGTTGATTATGTCATTCTCATAGGTACGAGGACGGAAGGACGGAAGGAAGGGAGGAAGGAAGGTTGGTTGGAAGGCAAAAGTTCTGGCTCATAATGGGCACTAAGAAACATTCACTTCCTTTCTTACTACATTCTAGACAGTCAGGAAAAAAGAAAGTATATTCCTATTAATGGACAGAAAATAGGTGAAGCGGGTCCTACATGATCTAAATGGTAGGAGAATGCAACGCTAGTGCAGAAGCGCAGACTGTAGCCTTTGAGGACTGGATGGGCACTCAGCATCATTCTACCTCACCCCAGCACGCTTTCTGAGGAAGGCCCAGAGAGGGGAGGGCACCTGCCCAAGGTCACACAGCTTTTCCATGGCAAAGGTGTAGCCAGAAATCCAGGTCTCCTGACTCCCACCCAGGGGTCTCCTATTACAGCAGCAGATCTTGAGGAGTCTGACTTTATTTTCAACCAACCAATCAGAGGCTGTGTCCAAATGAGGGTAAAATCTGTCAGAGAGGTAGGGTACACTGCATATTTGAAAGTTACTAAGAGAGTGGATCTTAAAAGTTCTCATCACAAGCAAAAAATAGAATTGTATAACTATGTTGTACATCTGAAACTCACGTAATGTAATATGTCAATTATACCTCGATAAAAATTTTTTTTAAAGAGGAAGTTTGCGAATGAATTTCTCAGATCGTTAATGAGCTCCTCTTCCAGAGCAAGTGAAACATTTCTGCAAAAATTGTCACCTCCCTGAGTAGGACAAAACGGCACGTAGGCACATCTCCTGCTCTGTTCTCACAAGCTGTGCGACCTTGAGGGCTCCTACTCACCTTTGAAACACATGTAAGAAATAATGTCTACCTTTGAGGGCTGTGTTGGGGGGTTGATTGTTTTTGTTTGTTTTGGGGGGGCCGGCTAAAGGAGGCGATGTGTATGAACCTGCTTGGTTATTTGTCACTTCCAGTATTTGCTGAATTGGAGTTTATAATTTCTGGAACACTTATGAATCATCGGGTGCATACCTTGGTCATCACACCTGCTGTAAGGGAACAAGGCAGCTTGCCACCTCCCAGGATAAGTTCTCTCCAACTTGTCTTTCTTAGGCTACTTATGAAGTACTCCTCGACTGTTAAATCAGCATCACTCAAAAATTGTCCTTAAAGGGAATTCCTTGTCAGTCCAGTGGTTAGGGCTCTGTGCTTCCACTCCAGGGAGCACGGGTTCGATCCCTGGTCAGGAAACTAAGATCCCGTATGCCATGCGGCACGGCAAAAAAAAAAAAAAAAAAAATGATCCTTACATACTGAAGAAAAGCAGTGACTTGCCACGGTGAGACCAAGGGGTCAAGGTCCTGCCCACACTGCAGTGCCTGGGTAAATGTTCCTCCGTTCCCAGCCCAAATTCTAAGAGACAGGTTTCTCCCTGAGAGTAGAGGCCCTGGGTTCCCCCCGCCCCCACAACCCCATCTCCTAGATCTGTATCTTTTTCCTTCTGTGGCCTGACAAGTCTTTCTGGACATGGGGGCGGGAGTCCCTGGGGCCAGGCCGACTTCGGACTGCATTCTCCTGTGTCAGTTACGAGCTGGGCCACCCAGACAACATGCCAGAACTCTCCAAGTCTCAGTTTCGTTATCCATTAGATGGGGCTAATAATAGAAGGAAGCCTTGTCACGGGTTGCTTTGAGGATGGAAACATTTTGCACATGATGTATTTAGCCCCGTCCTTGGCACGTAGGGACTACTTAAACAATAGGGAGGTATGACGTCTGATTCATCACCCCAGGTAGAGTGGGAGGGGACAGTCACAATGCCCTGATCCCCGTCAACATGCCCAACAAGCCTGCTTGACTCCAGAGGAGAGGGATTCACTCCTGTGGCGGGGTGGGGGGGAAACGGGAGTGGGCAGGGGAGGAAGTAAGTGGGGAGGAGAATCTCCTCCCTTTCCTCACGCATCTGGCCACAATTCCACTATTGGCTCTGTTGCATCAAATCAGTCGGTGTCCCTGTGATGTCTGCCCACCCACGGGACATCTCTCACTAAAGGTATTCTCCCTTCTAGTACTCACTCGTCACTCTGCTTCCCGAATTAAGCTTAATGACCACGCCATGGAGTGAACTCTGCTTCCCAATCAGCACCCTGTGTTTTCCCCGGGCACCAGGCATCACAGCTATACTGGTACCTGCTACGTGCCGAGCCCTGCCCTGCTAGACACCGGTGACAGCAGAAATGACTAAGGCCCACTTGAAGGGAAACAGGACAGCCAGGCTAAGTCCGGGTCCTAGGAGTGACACGAGACAGGCTCCATGGAGACCATGTGGGTGAACCTTCATTGTTGATGCCAGTAAAGTGTTCAGTGCAGTCTGCCCACATAGGAAGTGTTCAATACATGCGAGCTCTTTCTCAATTTCAGTTAATGGCATCTTTCAGTTCTAGGATTTCCATTTGCTTCCTTTTTTGTAGAGTTTCTAGTTCTCTGCCAAAAGTTGCAATCTTGTCCTTTACACCCTTGATCCTATTATTCATTCAGGGTTCTTACAAAGGCTGCCCCTGTTGACTCCATTATTTGAATCCCCACTGGGTCTCCTTCTACTGTCTGGTTTTCTCTGGTACACACGTTGTCTTGCGTATGCCTGATTACTTGTTATTAACCGCTGGACACTGTGTAGCAAAAACTGTAGGGATGATCTGAGGCCCTGGATGGTGTTGTATGTACCCAGAGACAATTCACTTTTGCTTTCTCTGGGCACTGAGGCCAGGAGCACGGCAGCCCCAGGTGACTTCACCCAAACAGGGCTTGAGATGAGTCAGAACTGGGCTTCGGGAAATCCATTTCTGTTCACTTCTCATGCTCCAGAGTCCATTTCTGTTCACTTCTTCATTTCCATTCACTTTTCACGCTCCAGGGTCCCAGCCCAAACCAGGGTTGTCGGCGGGGGGGGCAGGGGGTGCCTTCCTACTCAGTGGGAGATAAAATATAAACTGCATCTTCCCCCGCCCCCGAGTCCCATGAGTCTGCCCAAAGACGTGATTGACAAGTTGAGCAGGAACCAGGGAAGGAGGGGCCTTTAGTTCCACTTCAAGGAGCAGGGAATTTATCTAAAAGAAAATTGAATCAGAGGGTGACACTGTCACATTTGTTTTATTAAGACCATCCTGGGAACAGCGGCCAGATGGATTAGACTTGGAAGAAGTTTTGGGGTGATTGAACCTGAAAGCAGGGCAGTGGTGTAACCCTGACCTTGGCAGTGGATATTGACAGCAGGATCTCCAAAAGGAGTTCTGACTTGTAGCATTTGCCAATTTCTCTGGTGTAGATACGCCCACCACGGATGATTTCAAGCCACCCACATCACTGAGTGTGAAGTTGGGAAGAGACGGGCTCTTCCTGGCTCCAGCACCCTGAGGGGACAGGGAGATTTGAGCGCTCTTTCGTCTTTCTAGACAGAAATTGTCCCCACTTTTCCCAACTCCAAATTTCCTCCTCCTCAGCCCAAATGGCTCACCCCACAGGTCCCATCCCCCTCCCGAGAAACAATCCCTACCAATAAATCCCATTTATCAGGAAACATCAATGAATCTTGGTGCATTTCCAGCTGTGCCTCCTGGAGCTGCATTTGTCGTCATCCAAGTGTCCTTGGCAAACACTTAAGCAACAGGCTTGGGTGGACGGGTGTGTACCTTACGTTGTAATGGCTAAATCCCAGATTCAGAATCTTCAGCCAATTCTTGAATGCCTGAGCGTTACAGCACATGCCACACAATACAGGCAGTGCTATTGTCCAAACGTTGTAAATTTTTACTAAGATAATGGCACAAAGGCTCCCGTTACTCTCTCCAAGAGATGAGTAAATATATTAATACAAAGAGGAGGAAAAAGGGTGATAAATACAAGCCCCCACAGTATAATCTGCTGTCTTCTCTTTGTCAAACTCCAGCTACCCTGCCCTGCCAGGCAGCCAAGTCAATTTTAACCAAATCTGTTAGGTTATTAGAAGCTCCCTATAGCAGCAGGTCAGGCTTGGAGACAGGTGTCCTCCTGGGCATCTCTGCCCACCAAGCTGCAGCCATCGGAATGACCGAGTTGCCTGTCCTGGCTGGTAGACGTCAGGAGACTGTGTATAAAGCCAGCTGTGATTGATTGCTGCTTTACAAGACGCTTGCTCTCCTCCCAGATACAAATGGTAAACTCACTGTGAATCCTTTCTGAGGTTCAGAGTTTTCCAAGATGATCTTTGTTCCAGCAGTTTCTGGGTTTGATAGGGATCTGCACGGAAAGCCATTGTTTACCCACTTATCTTATGTTTTTCCAAGGTACACGTTTACTCTTGCCTTCTGGGCTTTGATGACTGATTAGCTTTGTAAGGTGGCTTCTCCGCAGGCAGGAGGAGAAGGGGAAGGACAGGAACTTGGGGGAGGGGACTACCCTGTTTCTTGCCTGCAGTGTTTCGGCCTCTGTGTCGTATGCTTTCATACAGATCTTATTCAGTCCTCATGTAGCTGTGCAAGGCAGGTATATGTACCCCCAGTCTCAGGACGGGGATATACTTATACTCACTTTGTAGAATAAGAAATCGAGGCTCAGAAAGATTAAATCACTTGCCCCAGATCCTGGCTGAGCCAGGATTTGAACCCAGTTCTTCCTACACGGCAGTCCTGCCAGAGAGGCAAGTGACATTGTTTCTTCTCTGCTTGATTGCACAGGAACAAGAATTGTATTTGTTCTTATGCTGTTCCTTTTGGTTTGAACTCACATCTTATAGAGCAATGAGTTATTCTATAACTGTTTGGAAATCTTAGGAGGTATTTTGCTAGTAAAGAAAAGATGATTCTAAGACCTTACATAGGTTAAAAAGAAACCTCTTTACCTTGTTATGGACTAGGGTGGCCAATTGCCCTAGTTTTTCCAGGATTTTCTTGGTTTTAATACTGAAAGCCCTGCATCACAGGAAACCCCTCAGTCCCCGGAAAACAGATGATTGCCTTATCATACAAACCCTTAGAAGGTACTGGCACCATCTCATGGCTAGTGCTGCAAATTGCAGGCACAATTAACTATCAATCATTGTACCTTGCCAACTAGCCCAGTAGCAGAGATGTTGTCCATTTTATTAGATGAATAGACATATAGGCAAAGCACACCAGAGGACCCCAAAGCTTTAGTAAGTCTTCCACTCAAGGACAGAGACTATAGCAGATATAATATTGATCAATCACTCTCATTCTAATCAAGTTAATTTTTGATTAAGTCATTCATATTTCATTTCCCCCAACTATGTAATCAAGATATGGTCAACATTCAGTAGCTTAAAACTGTTTTCAAACTTAGATCGTGGGCTTCCCTGGTGGCGCAGTGGTTGAGAGTCCACCTGCCGATGCAGGGGACACGGGTTCGTGCCCCAGTCTGGGAGGATCCCACATGCCACGGAGCGGCTGGGCCCGTGAGCCATGGCCACTGAGCCTGCGCGTCCGGAGCCTGTGCTCCGCAATGGAAGAGGCCACAACAGTGAGAGGCCCACGTACCACAAAAAAAAAAAACTTAGGTGATAGAAAGGATTTACCTTTTCATTGTCACTTCTTCACCTCCTCCCCCTCCTTCACACACATTAGCAATAAAGTCAGCAGTGTAGAGAGGAAACAGAGGTCCAGTGAGGTAAATGGCTTGTCCAGGGTAATGCAGAATACACACAGGGTGGTTCCATCTTCATCCTGTCTCTGTCCTCACTTTCCCGGCTCTTCTGTCAAACCATGAATCTCACTGAGTTCTCTCTTCTCAGATCCCCGTTCTCTGGTTGGCCTCAGTGGTACCACCCACGTTCCTGACGTTAGATGGAGAATGTGGTTCCTCCTCACAGGAGACATGGTGTCTTCACTGGACTTACATGCAATTGTCTCCTGAATTCAATCCAGTTCAAGTTATACACTTTATTTAGCACCTACTATGTGCCAGCTTAAAATATTTTGGAATGAACCTTTTATAAGTATAGTGATTCCTTCACAGCATATCACTGTCTGGTTCTGAGAGTTACATCTTCCCTTACACATTTGAAAACTACAGAAGACCATGGGTTAACAGTTTAATGCACCCCACTGGAGACTGTTACACCCACTGGGGGAAGGGGGAAGGTTTGCTGCTCCTGGAATCACTGCTGTGGTTTACAATGCACTTCTCGCTTCCTGATCTCATTTGGTCTCCATACCCCTAGAGCATATCCAGTGGTTTGGAGACAGACTGTCTGTTGTCAAGCCCAGCTCCTCTGCTTATACTGGCTGTCTGGCCTTTGGCAAATTATTTAACCTTCTATGCCCCAGTTTCCTCTTCTGAAAATGTGAACCATAATAGTCCTTCCTCTTATGGTTATTGTGAGAATTAAATGAAGTAAACCACGTAAATAGTTCAGCAGAATGCCCAGCTTGTAGTAAGCACTGTGGAAGTATTAGTTATTACTGTGTCCTTGAAACCCCGAGTTTGCCAGCCTCCTCTTGACATTGAGGAAAGTGAGACCCAGGTGGGAGTAATAATTTACCCATTAGAGGCCAACTTAGAATTAAAAACTGGACCTTCAGACCACCAACCTTAAGATCTTTTCTCTGCCCCTCATGTATCTTACTTAACCAGAGGTTGCAAGCCAGTAGCTCATAGATTAAATATTTTATTTTCTCACTTCATTGTTTTATTTAATCAGAATGCTACACATCACGAAATCAGAATATCTGATTCTTTTTGAAAAATGAGAAGTTTTGGGACTTCCCTTGTGGTCCAGTGGTTAAGACTCTGCACTTCCACTGCAGGGGGCGCAGGTCCCATCTCTGGTTGGGGAACTAAGATCCCACATGCCGCATGGTGCGGGAAAAAAAAAGAAGAAAAATGAGAAATTCTGGTAACTTGGGCCTGCATTCTCATGGAAAAACCCACCTGTGGAACTGACTAGTGACAGCCCCTAATTCTCCACAGTCCCTACCCTTCCCTATTACCCCTCAGATCTATGGTTGAGGACCAGGTTCTATTAGTATTTCTCATTTAGCTCACACTGTTCTTTCTCTCTTTTTACAGAAACAGTTCTCCAATTTTCCACATCTCTATCAACAGTGGGAAATGACCAAGTGACTCCAAGGGCTTCCAGATTTTTTGCACAGCAGGCATGCTTCCTCAGTTCACCTGCTCACCCAGCACGCACGGGGCTCTCAGCCCCTGCCTCAGAGCATCTGCATGGTCTCTCCATGGAGGCTGTTGTCTGTACAGTGGCCAGGTCTCCCAGACAAGCCTGGAGCTCCACACCCTTGACATTCCCCTTGAAGCTCACTCTTCAGAGTCTGAGAGCATTTTGCAAATACTTTTCAGTCCCATGTTTCAGATGGAAAAATAGGAGTGGAAGGAGCTTACCATGGGTTTCCATGGGGAGGGCCTGGTAGAAGACGAGGTGTTCCAAGGTCTTCCAGCCTCTGGCTCCAGATTGAGCGCTGGCACAGGAAGGAAGAGCAGCCAGGCACCACCTGTGCCACCAACGCCTCCCAGGGCAGAGCTGCTCCCTCCTTCTTGATTCCCTGAAGAGGATGAGAGGAGAAGCCCCAGCCTGCCTTCCCATATACCCACGCAGGGCTGGCCACCGCAAGGAGGTGGGCAAGCCCAGCTTCCGGAAAGGTGACTCAGGCGAACAGAAGTCAAACTGGTTCTTACCTGCATAAAACTGGAGGTCACGTGGGAGGGGCTGAGCAGGCTCAGTGGGGCTGGACCTTTGTGCCCACCCAAACCCAACAACCGTCAGCTGGCACCTGCGTACACGCCTTCAGCCAGACAACGTGGGTGGACTTAACCCTGCGTGCCAGGTTCTTTTCTGGGCCTCGGGGGAAAGCCACAGAAGGTCCCTGATGTTCTAATGGGGAAGGCAGACAAGAAACAAACGAACTAACTTCATATGGCAGGAAGTGCTAGAGGGGAAAGAAGAAACGTGAGGTTTTCAAGGGACATGGGGTGGGTGCGATTTTAGGGAAAGTGGCCAGGGGAAGTCTCTTTGAGGTGATATTTGAGCTGAGACCTGAATGATTAAGAAAGGGGAGGAGTGTTCCAGGTGGAAGAACAGCAAGCACAAAGGCCCTTGGGTGGGATCATCATGGTTGGATTGTGGCCCATGTGGTTGGGGCTTGGCTTAGGGAGCAGAGGGTATGCGTCCCCTCCTCCAGTTACCCTCAGGCCCCATGCCCAACCCTGGCATGATGCTGTCTTCGAGGTCAGATACTCTCTCCCCACCTTCTCTGAAAGATTCTGTGTTCTCAACCCTCTCTTCCTCTTTGCCATTCAGAACTGACCTTCTTGTTAGCTTCATGCCCTGGACCCTGCCGGCAGGGAGCAGACAACTCAGGTATGTTTAAAACCACCCAGGTCGATGCATGGGAACAGTGGCAGGGTCTTCCCGCCAGGCTCCAAGTCCCGGGTCTCATCCCCAGGTCTGCAGCTGCATGACTCTGGATGCGTCCCTTTCATTCTCCAGGCCCTCATTCTGATAACTGCAGAGGGAGCAGTCACTTCCTGCCCTGCCATAGCGGAGGGGCTGGCTGGAAGAAGGAATGATGGGCAAACTCTAGAATGCTTTATAAGTTGTGCGCATTGAAGCAGGGCCTTGCTGTAGGCAATGCCGCAGGGCGCAGGTGAAGGGGAGGCCAGCCTAGTGGCTGCCTCCACCCTGATACTGCCACCTCCGAGCCTCTGTCAGGGAAGAACAGGCCAGTCGCTTGACGAAGTGTCCATCATTCAGGACCCTCTCCAGAGGGGTCTAGGAGGAGCAGTTCACTGTCCCCTCACACAGTCTCTGCAGCCCACCCAGGCTCATTCCTTGACTCAGCCCATGGGGTCTGAAGCCAGGTCAGGAGGTGCAGGGTGCTGGAGTGGGGCAGGCCCCATCCTGGTGCCCTAACCGCAGGGACTTCCCAGGAAGGGCCTCACTTCCTGCTCTCTGCAGCCCGGCCTCACCACCTAGAATGCCAGGGCCTCTGAGCTGGGGCTGGGAATTTTTGAAGCAGCTTTTGTAGAGAAATGTTTTCTTGCTAAAGAATCAGGAACTCAATTTTGTAAACCTGGAAAGTTGGGCCTTGGGGCAGCCTGGAGTGGTGCGCGTCTGTTATTACATCAGGAGGGCCGCTCTGGGAGACGGGCTCTGGTGCCTGGAGGTTCAGATCCCTGGCCTCATGAGCTATATCTGTGGGATTCTGGGAACATCTGGAAAATGAGGGTAAGACTGTGGCCCCCCTTGTAGAGGGGTTGGGAGGACTGAGCTAATAAACGTGCTCAGGACACAGGAAGCATCATTTAAGTATGAGCTATAGCCTCACAGGCTATGGGTCTGATGTCTCCCCTGGGGAACCAGGGGCCTGGCGGGGCCCGGGGTCATTAAGGAGATGGTAAACTGGGCTACCGATCAGGGCCTGGGGGTGGCATGTGGATCAGAGCAGAGGCTGGGGTATCCCTGACACGGAGCACATCCAGGGTGGGAGGACCACTTGTGAGCACCTCTAACCCCCCAGGGCCTGGCCCAACTGCAGAGCTCTTCTCTCCTGCCGACACTCCTGCAAATCTGCAAAGCTCTGAGGGATCAGAGCCTTGGCCTTGAGCACCCAGAGCCCCTTGGAAGCCTGGAGCCGAATGTCCCAGAGGTGGAAGACTGGCAGCTGCGGGGAGAGCTGGCATTTGGGAATTTGGGGATTCCTGGTGGCTGGCGCCCCTTGGCCATGGAGGTCGGGGTGCTTCTGAAGAACCCCAGTGGCAGTGACTGACCTGCCTTGGGCCAGTCCCCTGCACAAGGAAGAAGGGCAGCGGGGTGGGATGGGGGGAATGAGATATTGAGGCTGGATGTCATTAGAACCCCTATCTTGGATTCAGACGGTCGCAGGTGTGGTCTCCTGGCAGGAGAGACCCCAAGGTCCTAAAGGGAAGTCATACTATGGAAACAGAAGTCTGGGCCACTAGCTGGGCCCAAGGCAGGGCGCCTGGTGCCGTGGGAAGACTAAGAAGTGGGGGGGGGGGGGGAATTCCCTCCACTGCAGCCAGGAGAGCAACACCCAGGGGGCGACCTGGTTCCTGCCGTTCTAGGGACATGAGGCCACGACACTGAACTTGAGTTGTGAAAAGAGATGGCATCGGTTTTACAATTCTGAAGATTGTAAACCCTCAAGGAGTTTCCCATGGTCTTAGACAAACCCTAAAGCCCTTACAGCGTCCCTAAGAGTCTGCGCCACCAGGTCTGGGCTGAGCTTGCCAAACAACCCCCTTGTCCTCTGAACTGCAGCCACACAGGCCTGCTTTTGATTCCTCAAATTCCCCGACCTCAGGACCTTGGCATTGCTTCTGCCCTGCACGGAACTGCCTCCCCTCCCCTGCTCTGCTGACTAGCCTACCAGCCTCTCCCTGAAGACCTCAGCTCAGACACTCATTTGTGTGATACTCCGTGCAACACCCACCTCCCTGGCAGGTCACCGCAAGGACAGTGTCTGCTTTGGTCTCCGCTGTGTCCCTGACCCATAGCACAGGACCTGCCACGTGGAGAAAGGAAACAAAGAATAGATAGGAAGCCACCACGCGTGGACACGGTGCCTCTCTCTCTCTGACACACACACACGTACATCGCTACAGATAAATGAAGACTCCCGAGCATAACATTCATAAGTGATCACACACTGAAACACACAAGTTCACATCCGTCAGGGTCAAGGCGTGCCAACTCTGCTTAACCCACGATCCCCTCTTCTGGGAACTACCCCCATCACCTGCATCCCAACACACAGGGCCAGTCACGTTCAACGTCCCGACTCTGTCCCCAGGCCATAGCTGATTGGACCTGTGAGGCCAACTGCTTCAAACTAACCCACTGCCAGGAATAAGGAAGTAAAAAGCAGAGAGGCCAGGCCACGTGTAGCTGCTCTCAAACCCAAGACTTCGAAATCCATCAGCTCTAGAAGGGGCCACTCTCGGCAGATGTACAGAGAGAGAAGCAGATTCTATGGGAGAGAAGAACGGAGCAGACAGACAGAGAGACGCAGAGGTGAGGAGGCAGTGGCCTTCAGCTGATAGATCATGATGCCTCCATGTCTCATAACCTTAGCGTTCCCATTCAGGATCTCTCATGAGATCCTGTACTTCCTGCTGCTGTCTCACAAATTCCCCATCACAGCTGAAGCTAGCTCAAGTGTGTCCTGTCCCCTGCAGCCGAAGCCTTCAATTAAATAATCCCATAAAAGCCAACGAACAGCACATAAGGAAACTGAGCAGTCAATCAACATGAAATTCCAGAAGGGACAGTCCAGTAAGGCACGGGTTGACGATGGGAAGAATCATTTCCTGCAACCGTACGATGCATCCGGTTTGTCTGCCGGCCGCGCTGCCTCGTGTTGGCGAGCTGCTCCGCCTTTTCTCACTCCAGCCGTCTCACCCCGTCTTCGGCCGCACTGCATCGGGCACAGGACAGGAGTCAGAGCCAGCTGCATCCTCCTGGTGGTGTCCAAGCTGTGTCTGAAAGAAGAGGAGTAGTTCCTGGTGCTTTCCCAGGAGCTAAGGGGTAGAGCTGCCAGCTAGTTCAAGGTGGGCTGGTCCCTGCAACACCAACCAACAATCAAAACCTAAAGCACACTTGCTCCAAGAAGATTCACTCACCACCCACCCCCACCAGGTGCTACGTTGGACCCTGAGGGCACAGAGGTGAGTAAGGTGGGCGTGTCCTCATCCTCGAAGGACATCACGGGATGATGTGTGCATGGATAGAGGAAGCACAGGGTTTGGTGGCTCCCTCCAAACAGGGGCACCCCAATCAGGCTTGGGGATGGGGTCGCAGGAGGGAGATGGGACAGGTAAGGGGGGAGGATGGGACAGAGGCCCCAAGGGGAGAGAAAGCACTGCTGGGGGCTTCAGGGAATTAATTATAAGTCATCAGAGCCAAAATGTAGAGTTCAAGGGGAAAAGCAATGGGAGGAGGGTGATGGGGGCCCTGGCATCCAGACCCTTGTCCATCTACCCCATCAAGGGCTCTGGACTTTGGCCGAACTGGGGGCTACAGAACTTCCAACAGGGGAGACTCGGGGTAGCAATCAGGTTGGAAGTGGGGGCAAGGCTAGCAATCTTTAATTTGCATTTTCCCTCTTACATTGTAGGCTTATCTGGAGGGGGAAGAGTTGGGGAGCTGGTGGTAGTTATCTTACCCCGCCTCACCCTCCCAGAGAAAAACAACATGAGCTAAAGGGTATCTCTGTTGTTTGTTTCATGTCTCAGGGTGGCTGGACCCTGGGAAGCCCTGACCCACACGTTAGTCACCTGAGAATGCTTCCTTTTCTGAGACCAGGGGCTTTCATGGGGAAAGTAGAAGCATTGCAACCACAGAGTCTTGCAGTACATCAGAATTCCTGGAGAGACTGAGCTACAAGCCACTCCTTGGTGGGTAACAGGAAGGTGCAATTGACCTGTGGTCTGTTACAAAGTATTGCATCATTGGGGAAAGAAGCCTATGCCCAAGAACAGAACGGCCCAGAGTCTGGGCTCGTCCCAGACCTAGAGGCTCTACCCCGGCTGACTGG